ACCCTTTTTTGACTTGAAGTTCAGAACATGCTACCCTAAAATCTGTCACTTTGGCAAACTGTTTTGAATTAAAGGCACTTGAAAAGCAGCAGATACAAGAAGAATGCTCTGACCTTCCCAAAAGCAGGAAATATTTATTTCCAAAACTCCTGTGTAAAAGATGCCCTCCTTGCCTCTGAATGAAGGAAGACGTTCTTATCCCAGGGACGGGGAATGAGGGGATAAGGGAAATCTGTACAAACAAACCGTGTTAAACTAACCTTTATCTTCCTAGTTGCTTTTCTATGATTAACTGTCCCAGCCCAAGCCTTTGTGTCTTATTAAATTTTCACTCTTTACAGCTCTTTCCTATTTAACATATGGATTCAGCTCAAATTGTTTCTTTGGGTCATTTCCTTATGACAGCTTCCATGTTGTTACAGTATTTTTTATAACAGTGCCCAAGTCAAGAACCTAAGACAGGTAGAGGAAAATTTTTTCTTTCCCCTACATTACAGTAACTTCAATGCTGGTCAACTTTTCTCCAAGTGTATTCAAGTCACATTATACTTTTGTGATTTCTATTGAGAGAAGATATCGGAAAGGGTGAGGTCTAGGAGAACAGGTTTTCTCAAGGAGACCACAAGGTTGTAACTTGGAAATTTCCAAGTTCTGTGAAGTCCTGTAGTTCCGTAGGGGCTGGAATGGCATTTCCCGCTTGATTCAAACTGGCCAATGAGAAGGGTACCTGTGGGGTGGAACTTTTTGACTGTCAGTAATCAGGGAAAGACCAAGCCAGTCCTGGAAATCTATGCCGTAAGCTCCCGGCCAGTAAATAAAGCCCTTCCTCTTATAAACTTGGTGTTTGGGTGCTCTTTCTCTCTGTTGGGCCCTGTCTTCCTGCAACACTATAAGCAAAGAATAGACATTTCTTTCATTGTTTATGCAAATTAGTGGGCATAAAATTGTCTTGCTTTCAGTTTCTGGCATTGGAGTTACTATTGGGGAACAATTGCTCTCATATTCTTATACTTGAAATAAGTAACCTATATCTAGCTGCCCAATATCTATCTTCTACATATTATTCAAAGGGAAGATCCTAGAATTTACAGATTTTTAAGCACTGCTGACAGGATTTCAAGTTGTTTTACTAATAGTGGATGCCAAGTACTTGTTGATTTCCTTAACTCAGGGTGACCTGGATGAGTGGGAGATTTTTTTTTCTCATACATGACTCAGTGGAGTATAGATTTCTGCTGGTTTTACTGCATGTACTCCTACTTCAAGCCTGAGTCTTTGAAGTAGCCCTTAATGATGGTTTTTATTTTATCTAGTACTATATACTCATATATACACTGCTCCATACAAAAATAGCCTACAATTTGTTCAAGAAATTAGAATAGCTGTACCTTCTGACACTTTGCTCCTGACATATTCCTGGATTTTAACATATCTGGCCTTTTATTGAAGTATTTATTCTTCCTACTTGTCTGGCTTCTTCATATCCTTCAGGTCTGAACTCAAATGACACCTTTCTGGTGACACTTTCCCTTCACATCTCCATTGTCCTATCTGTCCACTTTCCTTTATTTTTCTCCAAAGCTCTCATCACTTAACTATGCACTTTTACTTTGTATTCATCTTATTTTGCACCTCCCCTAACAAAAAAATACTAGTTCCCTGAGGACGCAGCTTGTTGTCTGCTATGTTCACTGCTGTGTTCTTTGCACCTAGAATACTCCCTGGCACATAGCAAATTTTCAGAAAATATGTGTGGAATTAATCCTGGATGCATATTTCAACTCTTTTGATCCTTCTGATTTACAGTGATCAACCTTGTCTTTCCAGTGCTTTTATATTATTTGTTTCTCAAAACCTTTGATTGCAGAATATTCACTGGTATTTAATCTTCAGGTACACATCATGCCTAAGACCTCTCAGAGTACATACTTAATGGGACAGTTTCTGAGATCGCTTTTTTAAATATCTCCATCATAGATGGTGGCAAATTTCAAATTTTTATTAGCCAGTGTTATTGGTGTTTATTGTTGCTGTCGATGGTGAAGATAATCATTTTTTTAAAGGAGGTTGAATATTTTGAAGAGAAAAGGTAATAGGAGTCAAAAGACGTTAGAGAAGGCAAAAAAGAATAAAAAAGTTAGCATCTTTACTCCTGTCAGATTCCCTGTATCAACCATATTCTCTGATAGTGTTGGTTTAGGACCATATTTTCTCACAACCATGAATCTTGTTCCTTCTACCATCCTTTTTTTTTTTTTTTTTTTTTTTTTTTTTTGCAGTTTTCGGCTGGGGCTGGGCTTGAACCCACCACCTCCAGCATATGGGAGAGGTGCCTGTGGCTCAAGGAGTAGGGCGCCTCCTTCCATTATCCTCTTTTAGTGTAAGTAGAGCTGTGTGCTTTAGCCTCAGAAATTTCTGAAATATTGTCTAAGTCTACCTGGACCCCACCTGCTTCTGTCTCATGGACTATCAAAGGAAAAACAGCAAGATTTCTTTAGGCAATCTCTCTCAATTTTATAATCCTCTACATGAGAGCTTAAGAACAGGCAATGATTCTGTACTATCATTGAAAGTGTTTTACAGGCAGCACCTGTAGCTCAGTGGGTGGGGTGCCAGTCACTTGCACCAGGGCTGGTGCGTTCAAATCCAGGCCCCACCCGCTAAAAGAAAAAACAAAGAAATAGTTGGGTGTTGTGACAGGCACATGTAGTCCCATCTACTTGGGAGGCTGAGGCAAGAGAATTGCTTAAGCCCAGAAGTTTGTTTTCTATTGAGAAAACAAAAAAATAACAAAAACCAGTGTTTTATAACATATAATCTCATTTTGAGTATTTCTGTGTCATGGAGTGTTTAATCTCTCATTTCCTATAAGAGTTTATTTAGTACATACTTCAATGTTAAAAAAGAATTCAAGTAGGGCGAGGTGGCTCACGCCTGTAATCCAAGCACTTTGGGAGGCCAAGGCAAGGCAGGCAAGGGAATAGCTTAAACCCAGGAGTCTGAGATTGCTGTAAACTGTGACAGCAGGACACTATCTATGGTATCGGGACAACAACGTGAGATTGTCTCCAAAAAAAAAGAATTCAGGAAATGCCACACCAAAACAAGATATGCCACCTTGGTATGCTGATTACTTCAAATTTAGGGTACTCTGGGAACAATAAGTGCATGGAAGGGCTTTTTCTGAACTCCTCTTGTCTGATTAAAGGCAGATCCTTCAAAAGGACTCAGTTGTCATGAATTCTCTTGAAGGGGTCAACAGGGAAACTTTACCTTTTCCCTTAGGTTGGTTTGCTGCAAAGATCAACTTACAGTAAGAGTAGATTAATAAGAGAAAGGTTTATTTTCAAATACCATGCATGGGGGGAGTAAGGGTGGGCGGGGAGGAACCACAAGAATGATTTCTCAAAATCTCAGTGGTCAGTGGCTTTTTTTTTTTTCCTTTTGCAGTTTTGGGCTGAGTAGGAACCCACCACCTCCAGCATATGGGGCTGGGGCCCTGCTCCTTGAGGCACAGGTGCTGCCCTGGTCAGTGGCTTTTAAAGATTCCTTTTAGAAGGGAGGGGGAAGAATATGGAACATATGCAAGCAGCATTTGGTTGCTAGGGGGAGTGTGTGTCGATAGGTGAAAACAGATTGATTTGCAAATTAACCTGAGGGACGGATCTGCCGCTTCAAACCACCTTAGGGCCAGGTTAATTAGCCTGCGATAAGGAGTCCAGCAGCCCTTTAAGATTTTAGATAGATTGCGGAAAGTCTTCGTTCAGAGTTTCTTGATTATCAATAGCCTTGAATTCAAAATAATCCTTATACCAAGGAATCGTATTTGGGGGTGAAATTTTCTTAGCACCTTTACTTTCCCCAGGGAAACATCATCAACCAGGAAAAATTAACTATCACAAGAGAGGAGACAGATGATCCATACCACACTCAGATGAGCCTTTGTAACAGGCCATCAGTTATTTTTTATGAGGCCTACTCATCTTTTCTCCAAGTCATATATTCTCCCCTAATATGCTAAAATACCCGGTCTTCTCTCCCCTATGAGGAGACTATATAAGCTTCTGGGTTTCACTAGGTTTTTGAGTATTCACTTTTCTTTCCTGCAGTGATCTCCACATGTATATAATAAATTTGTATATCTTTTATTTATCAGCCTGTGCTCAGTTTATTTCATATAGCCTGTTATCCAACCCAAAGAAAATAAAGGGAAAGTCTTCCCTCCCCTACAGTTAACAACTCTATATGCAAATAGGTACAGTAGAGGATGATGTGTAATTTTTGGAAATCACTAGAATCCTGTTGTAGCCAAGGAAGAAAAGAGGAAGGGGTGGAGTATTGGTAATGACTCTGGTGAATGAGAAAGACGTTTCTAGCTAGGAGGTGAGAGTCCTTGGTCTCACTAAGTCAATGTTATCTTGGTCAAGGTAAAATGAGGACAGTAGTCACTGTACCTAACTTCAAGGTGATCAATCTGAAAGCCTTACATATAAAAGTGAAAAGTTTCATTGTTCAGCTACTTTAAGAGGAATTAAGCCACAATAAAGAATCATTTGTTCCTTTTTCCACGTTTCTATTGAAACGTTTAGAGTTAAAATAACTCCTGGCACAGAAGTACTTCTTAAATGTTACCTATTTATAAATTGTTTTAAGTCCTTTTCATTCCAAAACCATAAAGCTCTATCCCAGAAAAGGACCAGTGGCCAAAACTCAGAACACCACCCCATTCCATGTTTGAGAATGGTATTTTGAGAAAATTAAATTGATTAATTGTTATTTTTCAAGTTAAAAGCCCATGGAGCCGAATTGGTGATTGGTTGAAACAAGAACCTAGAAAGAAGGATTATATGCAAATGAAGGATGCAAAATGTGATTTCCCATTGGGTACTTGACATTAGCCAATGAGAGAGTTCTCCACAGCCTACCTCCAGCCGGTATAAATACTTCCCTTGCTTTCCTTTCTACCGTGACCTAACTGCATTTTCTAGGAGACTATTTTCTCCTATTGTTGCAGCAGTAATGTCAGGTCGTGGAAAACAGGGCGGCAAAGCTCGAGCCAAGGCCAAGACCCGGTCCTCTCGAGCTGGTCTGCAGTTTCCTGTGGGCCGAGTGCACCGTCTGCTCCGCAAAGGTAACTATTCTGAGCGAGTCGGGGCTGGCGCCCCTGTATATCTAGCAGCGGTGCTGGAGTATTTGACCGCTGAGATCCTGGAGCTGGCGGGCAACGCTGCCCGTGACAACAAGAAGACACGTATCATCCCACGCCATCTACAGCTGGCCATCCGTAACGATGAGGAGCTAAACAAGCTTCTGGGCCGTGTGACCATCGCACAGGGTGGTGTCTTGCCTAATATTCAGGCTGTACTGCTGCCTAAGAAGACTGAGAGCCATCATAAGGCTAAGGGAAAGTAAAGCACTGGGTCTGCATTGGCCTTTTTCGTTTCTCTAGAGCAAGAAAAATCAGCTGAACAACAAAGGCTCTTTTCAGAGCCACCCACCATTTCCGTTAAATGAGCTGCCATGTTTGTTATGTTTCATGTTTAAAGGTGTGCTCAGGGTTTTATGTTTAGTTTTGCTTTTTGTTTTGTATAAAGGTTTTGAGGTAAACTCAAATGGTGGCACGCCTAGCAAACTACCCTACGGAAAAAATAGCCCATAGAAACCTGTAAGAGACTTTTGGAACAAAAGTCAAACATGTGCTCACAAATTACTTTTTGCAGAGACCAGAAAACAGCTTTACCTTTTGGAGAAAAGTATAGCAGTGCAGTATACACACCGGCTTTTAGAAAATTAGTGTGTATTTAAGTTGTTAAAAATAAATCCCTGTCACCAACGTTAGCACTCCCCTAGGTTGTTGAGAGTACCTACATACTCTCCGTCCAGGTTCAATAGACTGCACGCAATTAAACCAGCTATTGAGAGTATGTTGCATACATCTTGACACTTCACACTTAACATCTTCACCATGTATCTTCCAAAACCGGGAATATTTTCCTAATTGTCTACAATACACATGCCACACCCAAGAAAATAATTACCAGTTTAAATGCAGCCCGCGCGCGAATTTCCCTAATCTCCAAGTGTCTTTGCTTCCCCTCGCCCCCACCTGAACCTACTGGAGGTTTCTGCATCACATTCTGTGGTCTACCTTGTTTTAAATTGTAAGAAATTGGAAGCTTGCAGTGCAGGACTTTTGTCCACTCTGGGTATAGAAGCGAAGGGGTTAATAAATGACGTCAGCGTAGCTTCTGGAAATTGGCAGGACTTCGGATTGGTTCGCCAACCTGAAAACTGCTCTTAGTCTGCAGGCGGCGCGCAGAAATGGACCAATCCGAGAAGAACGCGGGGGCCTTTGAATGTCTCTGGGCCCAATAGTTGATGGTCTGACTCTATAAAAGAAGGGTGCCTCTTCGCCTTTTCTCATACGCGTCTCCGTGGGCACATTTTCCCCAATTTTTTGCAATGGCGCGGACCAAGCAAACAGCTCGCAAGTCTACTGGTGGCAAAGCACCTCGGAAGCAGTTGGCGACCAAGGCAGCTCGTAAGAGCGCCCCAGCCACTGGCGGTGTGAAAAAACCCCACCGCTATCGGCCAGGCACAGTGGCCCTGCGCGAGATCCGTCGTTATCAGAAATCAACCGAACTGCTCATCCGTAAGCTGCCGTTTCAGCGCTTGGTGCGTGAGATCGCGCAGGACTTCAAGACCGATCTACGTTTCCAGAGCTCGGCAGTGATGGCATTGCAAGAGGCTTGCGAGGCCTACCTGGTGGGCCTGTTTGAGGACACCAACCTGTGCGCCATCCACGCTAAGAGAGTCACCATCATGCCCAAAGACATCCAGCTCGCGCGCCGCATCCGCGGAGAAAGGGCATAGATGCAAACCTGCATTTTTGTCAGTTTGTGGATAACCCAAAGGCTCTTTTCAGAGCCACCCAATTAGTCCAAAGAAAGTAGCTGTAATCATTTTGCTAAAATTACCCCGAGCATGGGAATCAATGAACACTGAATTTTTAAGAAACCTATGGATAAGTTAACTAGGGATGATGACTTTACAAATAGCCCTACAAAGTAAAATATCTTTGATCTGTTAACCACATGAGGAAAGCTGGAATGCAAGTCCTCAGTAATACCTAGAATCCTTTGTAACGTGTGTTAGGATCCAAAAGTGAGTTAGGATGATTCTTAACATAACAAAGTTTTCCCTCATCTCAATACACAGTAATCTTGGGTTTCTTGTAACACGTTTATTCTTGAGTAAATGCTGGTTAGGAATCTGCGTATTTTCACAGCTAGCTATCCACTTTTCATAATGTTAGTCTGGCTACCATGCATAAATTCTGTAATAAATTTATATAGGTGACCTTGCTTATAAACATTCTTGGTTGTATTGCTTTGCCTCTAAGACTTGTTTGGTCTCAGGGAAACTTGCCCTTTCCCCGCAGGTCGGTTCCCTGAACAGATTAACTCACAGTTATGGTAGATTATTTCTAAATACCATGCGTATAGGGGTAACCACAAGAATGATTTCCCAAAGTCTCAGTGATAGTGGCCTTTAAAGATGCCTTTTAGAAGAGAGGGGGAAGAGAAACTGGAAAGTATAGGTATAGTAAGTGGCTGCTGGGGCGGGGGGGGGACGATGGGTAGACGGAAGGGAAACAGAGAGACAGGAATTGTGCTTCAAATGACCTTATCATAGGTCTATTAGCATGTAAAGCAACCCTTTAAGATAGAGGAAAGTCTTTGTTTAAAGCTCCCTGATTATGAAAAGCCTTTAATTCAAAATAATCTTTATACCAAGGAATCATATTTTGGGGTGAAATTTTCTTACCTTTTTCAGACTATACCAGGATGTTATATGTCACACCATTTTGCTTTTGCCTATAGTATCTATTCAGATCTAGGATTTATACATTTTAGATATTTTCCTTTTGTTTTCTAGACATTAGGGATTTAGCGCTGGAAGGTGATTGGAACGAGAATAGTCTATGTGGAAAACAAAATGACATTCACTTTAAACTTTAATTTTTATATTTCATATAATTACTTTTTATCATATTGTTTTCACATATTTTGCAAACTAACTTTAGAATGACTATATAGAATGCTGAACAACATGAAGCCACTAATTCCAAAGACACTGCTTCAGATTATACTTTACTCCTAACATTCTTTCTTTGACTACTTTTAAGATGTGAACTCATGAGTACCTTTCCTGCCCTTACAGCCACAGAACAAAGATTCTGTTTTATGTCTCCATTTACTTGAAGCCTTCAACAGAACAGCTGTCCAGTGTCTAAAAGAAAAAGATCAGTACTATTTTAGAATTCAGTACACTATTAATCACACTATAGGAAAACTCTGGATGCTTGCTGCAAAGAATTGTAGCTTACCCCCACATTACTGTTTACTGTGTCATCTACTACCCACTTTGTCGGGCTGTTATTTGGATACAAGCCTACTTGTGGACACATAGCATTATATAAATCATATTAATTTTCCAACATATCATTTTTCCTTATGTTTTAATCTAGGATTTTTAAAATTTTGGAATAGCTCAAACTCCTTACCTTCTGAAATTTTTCACTTGGCATTACTTAATTGCATAGATTCTGTTGCTTTTAAAAATTACATTTCAACAGATATTTTAAAAATCAGAGAATGGAAGAAATTCATTTGTGAAAATTTATTGAACATTTTACACTGGAAAACAGTGTCAGGAGTTTCATGTCCTTGCATTAAAAATCTATTACTTTTTATTAGAAGAGTGATTAAAATGATACTGGAGACAAAAAGAAGGTGTTTAATATTTGCAGAATATGTCACCTACAAATATTTGACTGTGGCAAAAGCACTGTGAAAACAGCAAACACAAGAAAAGTATTCTAATCTTCCCTTTTCTTCCTGAAAACAGAAGATAAAAATTCAATGTGAAAGATGCCCTCCCTATACCAGGAGAAATGTTCTGCAGCAGGGAGTTACAGGGGAGATAATTCTGCACAAATATAGCAGGAAGTCATAGCTTGAGAATTCTGAAAAAATTTTGTTAAAAAGGTTTTTATTTTCATTTAACCTCCCCATATGGTTTAGTTACTTTTCTACAATTGCCTCTCTTTGTTTAATTTAAAATAAAAGCATTTATGTACTGCTGTTTCTTATGAGGGCTCCTGTGTCCAGTAAAACTTGATATTAAGTAAGTTTGTATGCTTTTGTTCTTTGACCTGTTTAATACTAAATTAATTCTCAGGTCCAACTGGAAACTCTTAAATGGTTTAAGTATAATGTTACTTCTCTACAGTGTGTAGATTATATGCTTTAAATGTTCATTGTTGGGAGGTCTTTAGTTAAACACGATTTTTCTTCTCCAGTCAAAATAAAGTGATGTTACCCCACAGGATGAAATTTACAGCTAATGCTATTGGAGTCTAAAATCAGTTTTTGGTTTGTTAGTGAGAGTGAGGTGAAAAAGCAAGATTCTCAGAAAAGAGAAAGAAGTCAAGTTTGGGGCACATTTTTCATACCTAAAAACATAGCAGTAGCCCTTCCAGTTTTTCCAGCAGAAGTGATTTATTATTGAGTGTTTAACACAATAGAGGTTTAGCTGTGGGAAAGCTTAAGACTCAATTGTCAGTGCACCTTGGGAAAGGGAACAAAGGAATATTTTCTAACATTCATTTTTAACATATCATACATTAAAAAATAGAATCTGTCAACATCTTATACTTTATTACTGCTGTGATTTTAAAAATTCTTACTAATATATACACATTTATTGCTGGGAATAAAAACCTGAAAAAGAGAGCTCAGAGCAATACTCCAACTCCAGGCATATTTTTAAAGTAATAATATTAAAAAATAAGCCATATTTACATAACATTTCTTTTTGACAGTCTCTGTTCTCATGGTTTGTTTCCATTAGCCAAATCCACACAAAAGTACCATGAGTATCATTACCCCAGTTTTACAGATGAAGAAAAAGAGGCAAGTTTACAAGGTTACACAGCTAACAATCATTTCCTTTTGAACGACGAAAGTACAGTGTGAAGGGATAGCAAAACTCCATCACTACCTTTTTATGGCACTGGCTGGGCCCACAACGTAAACTGACATAAAATAAGTTAACAGAAAAAAGGCATACAAATTTATCTAACATATTTTGTACTAGGTATGAGAGCCCTCATAAGGAAGTGAAGACTCAAAGTAGTTAGCATCAGTTATTTGTATACTGAATTGGACAAATAATAATAAACTGTGAATAACTGCTAAGGCAAAAGTGCTTGGGGTAGGGTATTTATTATAATTGGGTAAGGAAGTGACCAAAAAGGGTTAGCTTAACAAGGTAGTTCATACAGAATTCTCTTGGCCTCAACTTCCCGTGGCTGATAAGAATGCTGGTTTTTAATTTTTTTCTAGTATAGGGAGAACATAATTCATTTGGCAATTTTCATCTATTGCTTTTAGGAAACAGAATGAAGGTCTGAGCGATCTTTCTGCACCTTTTTTTAAGTGCATTTAACTTAGTCAATCTGCCAAAGTGGTATACTTTTAACTTCAAACGTTTTGTCTTTAAAATATAAACGCTTAGTAAAATTTTCAATCGAAAGTATACCTTCAAATTTGAATGCCAGAGTTTGAATCGGGATTAACGAGTGAAACTACTTTCGGCGTTCTCTCCCGCGCCTAGCGCTAGGGTTGCGCCCAAAGGGGGCGGAGCACAGGTTGCGGAGTCACCACCCCATTGTCTCAGTCTTCAATGAGGTCCGATCGCAGAATATAACTACCGGGGGTCTAGGTTAGGCTCACTTATCGTCCCTGACGAACGCTAATCATGTCTGGTCGTGGCAAGGGTGGTAAGGGCCTTGGCAAAGGAGGCGCAAAGCGCCACCGCAAAGTGCTCCGGGATAACATCCAGGGTATTACCAAGCCAGCTATTCGGCGCCTGGCTAGGCGTGGGGGTGTGAAGCGCATCTCTGGCTTGATCTACGAGGAGACTCGCGGGGTCCTCAAAGTGTTCTTGGAGAATGTGATTCGGGACGCCGTTACTTACACCGAGCACGCCAAGCGAAAGACTGTTACTGCAATGGATGTGGTGTATGCCCTCAAACGCCAAGGACGGACTTTGTACGGTTTCGGCGGCTAAAACCTTCACATTTGGATTTCTTCTTTACCCAATGGCCCTTTTCAGGGCCGCCCACCGTGTCTCTGAGGGAGCTGTTGTGCTAAGCTTTACTTTTTTCCTCAGTTTAGTTTTATGGGACTGTATTTACCCGGCTAGTCGCCTAGCTACCTTTACGCAGCTCCTACTTTGCGCCAATAGGAAAGGCCCCAGGCGTCTGAGTAGGGCGGGGACTAGGGCCAAAAGCCCGCGGGCAAACCCGGATTCGGAGAGTTCCTGGGCTGTTTTGGCGCCCTCTGCAATAGTGAGTAAGCGTCCATAACCTCAGTCCAGTGCAGTGGAGTGATCTAGCTTTACTCCGTGGTCTGCGAAACTATCTTTTTAAAAAAATTATGTATTTTCTGAGACAGAGCCTCAAGCTGTCCCCCTCGGTAAAGTGCTGTAGCAACACAGCTCACAGCAACGCCCTAAAATTCCTGGGCTCAAGCGAGTCTCCTGCCTCCGCCTCCCAAGGAGCTGGGACTACAGGCACCCGCCACAATGCCCGGATATTTTTATTTATTTTTTTTATTTCTTGGTTGCAGCCATTATTGTGTGGCGGGCCTGGGTTGGATTCGAACCTGCCAAGTCAGGTGTTATGTGACTGGCGCCTTAGCCGCTTGAGCCACAGGCGTTGAGCCTGATAGCATTTTTGTTAAAGGATTAACTACTGTCAGTGCAAGCCCAAACAAAGCAGCTTGATTTTCTTTTTAGACCAGTAAGCATTACTAACAACTTCGGGTGATGATGTTGTCTGCTAACAGGTGGAAAAGTCGGCTAAAATAAAGACTGCCATCAAAATGCTTAGGTGTCTATCTCTAGTTCACAGTTTACCCTGAATGTCAGGGAAGATCTACATTTTATCCACCCTGGTCGCAACTACCTTCCTTTCCCTCCGCCTCTGTCCTTTTCACGGACTCTGCTGGCGCCCTAGTTTCGGGTTAAAGGCGTTAGCATTACTGATTTACATTCTCAGGCTGAGGGGTCTCCACATCAGGCTGCCTAAGTAGTTTGGAAATCCCACTTCCTAATCAGAGGTAGCCTGTTTTATAATTAAGGACTGTATTTCTTCCCAACCCTGAGGCCTGTGGCAGGACCTAATGTAGAAAGAAGTAGTTGTAAGGGAGAAATCCTTCTTAGATTAACAGTAGCTCTCAGAAGCCTCTTGCTCCTTTGTCATAATACCCTCTCTCCCCGACTGCCTTCTCCCCTTCTCTGTGCCTTAAATTCTAAAATTCAATTTCTACTTTTGTATTATGAAAATTTCAAACCATATGATACAATAATAAAAGGTTATGTTTTAATTTAGGAATCCAAAACTTGGAAGTCAGACAAGTGAATATTCATTTGATTTAGTTTAATACTTGAAAAATATGTTCAGGCTGCTTCAGGTTAAAAATAAAATTTAAAAAAAAGTGAAAGAAAACAATTTTGTTATCTAGTTACTTTGCTAACAAACCTCTTTCAGACCCTAGAGGAGATATTGCATAGGCAGTTAAAAGTGAGTGTAGGTAAGAAGTCTGTGCCACATTAAAATTTAGGAGTTGTCATATAAATGAAGAAACTAGATGAGATCACTAAAACTTCGAGCATAATTTAGTGCAGCATTGTTTGTAGTGGTCAATAATGGGAACTTTCATCACAAGGAACTGGGTAAAGTGATCTATATTCATAAAATGGAATACTACACAACACCACTAAAAAGTGAAAGCCATATTGCAGTAGAAACTCTCACTAAATAATATGGTGAAAGTTATATTGCAGTAGAAACTCTCCAGTGTCTCTTGGGTCAGCTCTTAGATCTGTTCTTTTTTTGGTGATCTCATCTAGTCTCACCATTTATATGTTCTGTATTCTCTAAAATAGTATATTCAACAGGAGAGCACCATGGCCTACCTGTAGGTGCCAGGTTAGCTTGTAGCAATGCCAAAACCTGTGAAAATGGCAGCTTCCAGCTACTTCTCATTCCCAGTGGTTGTGTTTTGGACAGTGGGCTTAACGTCTCCAAATGCTAACCAATTTCTCCCACCCACTTCAAGCTTCACAAAGAATCACAGAATTTAAGAAAAATGTTGATGCAATTATAAGTTATCTTCCTGACCTTTCCCCTAATGTTCAGACAAATATGCCATAATACAATGGCATATTTGATACATGTACTTGAATATCTAATGTGCATCTCCAACTTATTCAAAATAAGTATCTTGACACACAAACACCAAGTCTGTTTTTCCTCTGATATTTTCTATCTAAAAAAATGGAACTCCATCTGCCAGCAGCTTTGGCCAGGACCTTTGCAGTCCCATTTTGCTTTAGTTTCTCACAACTTTCATACAATGCATTTAGCTCTGTGTTCAAAATCAATTAGAATACATTTCACTACTTTCTTTGCTGCTTCTCTAGGGCAAGCCCCTATCACCTTTCATCTAGATGATCATAGTGAACCTCAAACTAGTCTTCCTGCTTTCACTTAGTCCTCCCACACCCTATAGCTATCTACCTAGCACAATCCTCAAAACATTCCAGTGGCTTTCCATCATCGTCATAATAAAAGCCAGCATCCTTATCATACACATTGTACAAGTAAGGTGGCCAACCATGCCAGTTTGCCTGACTCAGAGGTTTCTAAGGGTACAGCACTTTTCAGTACTACAACTTACTAAGTCCCAGACAAACCAGTATAAGTTGGTCAACCTACCTAGGAGGCCCTACCAGAGATGGCCCTTCGCTACCCCCTGACCTCATTCTTTATCACCTTTCTTTTTCTTCACTGACCTCCTCGCTGTTTCTGGAATGAACCAAGCATTTCCAGCCTCAGAGCATTTGTACTTATCCCTTTCTTAATTCCTGTGATTGTCTTATTCCAGATATCTGCATGGCTTCAGACCTCATTTCATTCAGGCTTCTACTCAAATATCCACCTTAAGAAAGAGACATCACCTCACCATCTTTTGTAAAATAATACCTTTCTGCTCATTTAGCAATTATAACTGATAAAACATGTTCAAATAGCATACATATATATCTGCATATAATTCTCAGATATGTATGTATCTCGGAAAAATACGTTCTTTCTTAATATTTTGTTTGCTGTCTCCTACAACTAGAATATAATTTTTCAAAAGTAGAGACTTTGTTTTGTCTGTGAAGTACCTGTATATCCCTAGTATCCCTAGAACAGAGCTAATGTCTATAGCTTATAAAGGTTTGTTTAATAAATGTTTGCATGAATCTTCTACACAAGTCTCCAGACCCCCCACCATGCCCACTAGAGTGCAAAGACAATCAATTTCCCATCTGTAATTTCTTGACCTGTCACTCCCCAAAACAATCAGGATAGCAGTTTGTCTCTAGATCTGAGGAATGAGGCAGGGGCTGTAAATTAAGCTGCATTTTTTTAGTCTTGAAATAGGACGGCATGACTGTTAGGACTGCATTACTGTTAATAATATTCAAAACAGCCAGACAGACCATAACAATAGCCAGTCAGGGCTATTAGAGGGAATTCTAATTCATTGCTCACTGATGTAGCCCAATGTCTACAATATCTGAAACATTACATGAAGGTAGTAAATAGCTCTTGAAGCATACCAGCAAAGGAAGACTTAAAATGACCACTCTCCCTACCAAGCTCATTTTTGCTCCTCTGACTCATTTCCTGAAACCACCCAGAATACAGATATAAATTCTCTCCATTGTTGGTTTTAAATTAAGCCAAGCTGGGTTCTTTTGTCATCTTCTAAGAAATCCTGGGTGACAACTGTAAGGTGGAAATCATGACCCCAAAATGAAGGAGAGACAGTCATGACTGAAGCTAACATTCTGAAGCTGAACTCAGTCCTCTATAAAAATGATACCAAAAAGAACCCAAGAACAGAGGCATTTGTGAGTATCTATTCAGGTAAAAATATTTCCCTATTACCCAACTTTAAGTGAGCTCACGTCTCTTCCAGCTGAATTCTGAAGGCTTATGTACTAATGGAAAATATAAACGGATCATAAATGACCTTTAAAATTCTGTGGTTGCAGTGAATGACTTGACAAAGCCCACATTTCCAAGTCTAGCAGGAGGCCCTTCACATGTCAACAGTGCCAACTCTTAGTGACCTCATATCATCTCACTGTCTCTCCCTCCCTTTCCTCCAGATATAAATCAACTTTATTAAAATAGAAGGTGCCCAAAGCTAGTATACATACTTTGAGAAAGGAAAAAACTATTAAAATTGTAATATTCATCCTAGCACTCTGGGAGGCCAATGAAGGAGGATTGCTTGAGCTCAGGAGTTTGAGACCTGGCTAAGCCAGAGTAAGACCCCATCACTACTAAAAATAGAAAAATCAGCAGGGTGTCATGGAGGGTGCCTGTAGTCTCAGTTACTTAGTAAGCTGAATTGAAGCAGGAGGATCACTTGAGCCCATAAGTTTGAGGTTGCCATGAGTTAGGTTGACACCTTAGCAAAAGGAAAAAAAAAGTAATATTCAATATATACCTATAACAAAAGATGAATACAGGTCACCATTGACTTCTGCAGTTACAAGAAGCACTCAAAGTGGTTATCATCAGCAGTGAACTACTGGTCCAGCAATGCTAACATGCCGTTTCAATATTTCTTCACATACTGCCAGTGTAGCTAGTTTTCTATTTACACTACATTCTTAAAGGTCTCCCATACTCATGCCTCCATCATCATTGTACTTTCACAATGTTCTAGAATTTCAAATACAACTTCAAAATGATCTTGTGCTTCTCTAAGGACAACCTGGCTTCCACCATTTTCTTTGTCCTGCCTGTTGCATTGTCATGAATGAATGCCAACTTATTTGATTAACACCACCATCTTTTGATCAAACATCATACTATGCATTGCTACAGTAATTCAACTCACCCTCGAAAAGTTACACGTAGATATTTCTTAAAATGTGTACACATTTCTTGGCACCCTGGTATTTTACATACCATAAAATTTACCCACTTTAAAGTGTAATTCAATGAATTTTAGTATATTTACTTAGTTGTATAGCTATCACTAAAATCTAATTTTAGAACATTTCCATCAGCCAAATTTCCATTTCTTTGTGAAGAAAGGAAAAGTTCTGGCTAATTTGCTGAGGGCTGTGTTGGCACTGAAAGAGAGTGCCTAAACCTTTACTCCCTAAACCAGATTTTATTTTTACATATATATGCATTTATATATTAAACATTATGCAATTTATATAATACATATTATTTAATGTAAATATTAAATGTTATGTATTTTTTATGTATGTATGTATTTTTTTATGTATGTATTTTTTTTTCCTTTTTTTGAGACGGTATTACTGTGTCATCTAGGTAGAGTGCTATAGCATCATAGCTCACAGCAACCTCAAACTCCTCAGTTAAAGCGATCCTCTTGCCTCAGCCTTCCAAGTAGTCCCACTACAGGCGCCCTCCAAAACGCCAGGCTAGTTTTTTCTAATTTTTGTAGAGACGGGATCTCTCTGTTGTTCAGGACAGTCTCCAACTCCTGAGCTCAAACAATCCACCTTCCTCGGCCCTCAGAATGTTGGGATTACAGGCGTGAGTCACCACTCCCGGCCCTTAAACCTGATTTTAATATTTCCTGAATCTAGTGGAGCCTAAATCCGGGTTCCATTTCGGAGTTTTTGTTTTTTTGTTTTTTTTTAAGTCTATACAAATATTTGGGCTGATAATTTCCGTACTGTTCCCAGTACAAGATTAAGGGAGATTTAGATGTCGCTTACTCGTTTCATCATCCATTAAAAACAATTTTTAAAAAAAAATTTCTAAAACAGGATTTTGCCATTTTCAGTAAAGCTTTTTACCATTTTTCCATCTCCCTCTCTGGCTAGGCTCAGGACTATTAGGTCATCAGTTCTGATTGGTTGACACTCCGAATGGGGCTTGCTGATTGGGCAGTAATATGCTTTGTTCGCTGAAACGCGTGAATACCTTAAAATAGCTGGTTGTTTTTCACTTATATTTCGAGTTATCATTGCTCCCTTGCCACACCCATGAAAGCTGGGCAAAAGAAGGTAAGTGGGTATACTGTTAGGCAGTTGCATGAGCATAAACTTTAAACGATTAAACATTTAACCCCTTCCATGTCTTCTTTGTTCCTTTGGCTTTGTCAGTATTTATGCATTGAGTTGTTTAGTCCAGTGACGTTACCACAGCTCTTCTTTTGATCATTTGGGCGGCCCTGAAAAGGGCCTTTGGTTCATAAAGGCAAGCCATGGCCAATTCAGAAACCCTAACCGCCAAAGCCATATAGTGTACGACCTTGGCGCTTAAGGGCGTAGACGACATCCATGGCTGTGACAGTCTTGCGCTTGGCGTGCTCTGTGTAGGTCACAGCGTCCCGGATCACATTTTCCAAGAAAACCTTGAGCACCCCGCGTGTCTCCTCGTAAATCAGACCGGAGATACGCTTGACTCCACCACGCCGGGCGAGGCGCCGGATGGCCGGTTTGGTGATGCCCTGGATGTTGTCACGTAACACCTTACGGTGACGCTTGGCACCCCCCTTACCCAAACCTTTACCGCCCTTACCACGTCCAGACATGACTTCCAAAGATCTGAGCCAACTGCAAGTTAGAGAGAAAAGATCTGATCCTTATATACCTTCCTCCCCTTTTCTCCCCACCCCTCAGCAGATACAGACAATGAAAAGCGCGCAGGCGGGAAACCTGACGCTTAAAGTCCCGCCCCTTAAGGCCGCCTCCAGCACCAAGCCGGCTAGACCAATGGTTTTTGCTTCCTTAACTGAGCTACATAGTTTTGCTTGAAGTAGGTGTAGAATTTAAGTGTAAACTCCCTATAATTCCGAAGATCCTGTATTTTAAGAAATACTCTAAAATTTTTCACAATAAATTTTAAATCCTGGTAATCCTAAGAATGTCAAGGTCAGAGACCAATGTAAAATGACAAGATTTTATTTTCCAGTAGTTTCCTTTTAATGTTCCGTAACTAATCACATAAAAATTGTTTTTGATAGAGTCTCACTATGGTCGCCCTCGGTAGAGTGCCATGGAGTTTCACAGCAACCTCAGGCGATTCTCTTGCCGCAGCCTCACTTGTAGCTGGGACTACAGGCGCCCGCCACAACGCCCGGCGCCCAGCCATTAGGTTCTTTGTACTGTTCTTGTTCATATCTTTTACAACTTTTTCAACTGGTCCAATCTTAATATTCTCGAAATGCCTGCCCTTTCACGTACTTCTTAAAACTAACCGGGCAAAATGCCGCCGACATGTTTAATTTTGATATGTGTACGGCTAGCTTAACTGACTTAGTGAGCTTTTTACAGCCACTTTACTTGAAAATGTGGTGGCTCTGAAAAGAGCCTTTGGTTGAAGTATCAAAGCTGACAGTGAAATCACGCCCTCTCTCCGCGAATTCGGCGGGCGAGTTGGATATCCTTTGGCATAATGGTGACGCGCTTGGCGTGGATAGCGCACAAATTGGTGTCCTCAAAAAGCCCCACCAGGTAGGCCTCGCATGCCTCCTGCAGCGCCATCACTGCAGAGCTCTGGAAACGTAGGTCGGTTTTGAAGTCCTGCGCAATTTCGCGCACCAGGCGCTGAAAAGGCAGCTTACGGATCAGTAGCTCAGTAGACTTCTGATAACGGCGAATCTCGCGCAGGGCCACGGTTCCAGGCCGATAGCGGTGGGGTTTCTTCACGCCGCCGGTGGCCGGCGCACTCTTACGAGCTGCCTTGGTTGCCAGCTGTTTGCGTGGTGCTTTGCCACCAGTGGATTTACGAGCGGTTTGTTTTGTGCGGGCCATAACGGGTAACACATACAACCCTTAAACCAAACAATCCTGTAAATGGCTACCAGAGTTGTTGCTATTATTTATAGGAGGGTAAGTGTAGTGATTGGATGAGAAAAAAAGTTTAAATATTACGTCTTAGGAGCCGATTGGTTTATTTTTAAAGTAGCCAACAAACGTACAGTTTTATTGGCTACTATATTCTATCCAAAGCTTTTTTTTTTTTTTTTTTTAAAGAGACGTGGGCGTCTCGCTTTGTTCCCTGGCTGGCCGGAACTCCTGGACACAAAGGATCTCCCGGTTCAGCCCCGGAGTTGCTGGCATTACAGCTGCCTGCTAACTCATTTCGCGCTTTTTTTTAAAAAACTTTTTTTGCATCTGATTTTCTTGACTGGAAACTTTGATTGAGCATGTTTACCTTTTAATAAAATTAAAGATATCAGCCTCAATGGTATTGTAGTTCTCCAATTCTGTATAATCTTCAGTTCTTAAAAAAAAATTAAGGTATTGCCCATTCTTTTTCTTAAAATGTATCCTTTAGGGGTTTTTGTTCGTCTACCCAATATCGAGTTAGAAGTTTCTGAAAACTCACAAAAATGGGATTCTTTTGTCATGCTTTAATTTAGAACCTTCGTTTGAACCTACAAAGCATAATCTTTAATGCAGTAAGCTACACTAATGCTCATAAAAACATCTTGCTGAATGTTTATCCTCTTTGGAATCCTACACTTGCGGCTTCCCAAAGCTCTTGTTTTCTAAAACCTTGGGAATGCTTTGCCAGGCGCGAAATCGCGGTTCCTTAGAACTAGCGCCAGATAAGGCCAGTTTGCAATTGTTCCCCTTGCTGAGCTGGTTGGAGGAACCCTGACCGTCAAAAGCATATTTTAGCTTTCTGGAGCGACCTGACAGTTTAAATCATCTCAAACATGGAAATGGTGAGAATATGCGACCCTTTTTACTAACAGGTAGGCCACACTACATTTTGATTGGTTTGAGCTCATTTATTTTATTGAAGTCTAAGCCAATGGAAATGGTAGAGCCATTAACTTAATAAAAACATAGTATTACAAACTACCCTGTATCAGAAAATTTGGAGTAATTCCTTTTTCAAAGTTGCGTTTGTTTAGATTGATTTATTACCCTAATAAAAGATTGTATTTTTTAAAAAGGAGTTTTACTTACAAACTTTCCAACATACATAGTATGCCTGTTTTATAATTGACTAGTCTTCAAACTAAGATGGATAGTTTTGTTTACAATTGTTCTCTACCAAGTTATTAGAAATTATATGACACATTTGAAAACAGCTCAGTAAAATGTGAGGTAGAAAAGACTGGTAGAGAAGACGGACACAAGAAGTGTCTCTAACAATATTAGCATGTTATTTAAAAGAAACGGAATTCTCCAGTTACCTAGCCCAGTGCGGACTTGTTTGAAAACTGCCACTGTGCGCGCGGAAGACACCGCCTTAAGCTCCCGAGCCCTAGGCGGTTCTGTGGAAGTAGAGCTCAGTTTAATGGCATTTTATTTTCCTGTTGATTAAGTCTATGTTTACCAGTGTGAAATCGTTTTAGCGTGTTGTTTTTAAATGCTCTTTATTGGTACGGTTTAAAGGGCGGGTGCCATAAAATCTTATCCCCAGAGTATGTCCTTTAGTTTTTCACAGTCCGGCTACCTAAACCCTCACTCAGGACAATGCCTGTCAAGAAACGGTTTCGTTCCCTGTGGTTTATTTAATGCCTCTCATAGGCTCAATTGTGAGCTTCATAAATCTTGGTAGAATGAAAAGAATGAGATGATCATATCACGGTACCTTCATATCGTGTACTGACATGAAAACATAGGTTGTAAATGTTAAAACCTATTTGGGCTATGTTGTATTAAAATTAAGTTCGTTGGACTGCAGAAATAAATTGCAATTGCAGAAATTGTTTGCATACTGTTTCTCACACATGCGGTTAATTGCGCCCTTAGTGAATTCTGGTGTTTTCTCCGATTCCTTTTCCTTTGGCCATAGTACGTGAAAGGTATTCGCCAGACATACCGCTCTAAATAAAACATTGCCGGGAAATGCAGTGGCATTGATGAGAACTTGTCTCAAATCTGCAGACAAGACCTAAAACCCTTGCTTTCCTCTCTCCCACCCCAACTGTTTAAAACACAGTATTTTACCTTTCTTACAAATTAGAAATGAACATCCCTGACAATGCGTCCTCTAATAGTTTCTGGAAAATACTCTGAAATTTTACAAACTTCCCCTCATTCTATCTCTTCCTTCAAAAATAACTTTTTGAGAGGTAAGAACGCCCTTTGATGTTTCTGGGCGGTAGGGCCTCCCTATAGTTTCCGTCTCAACTAGGCGATAGGGATAGCCTTTTGGTGTTTGCCGGCGGGCAGGGGAAGATCAATTTTAGGCCTTAGCGACACCTCCCACCCTACGCCATATTCTCAGACACTGTTAAGACCGCCGCGACGCTCTGGGCGCTAGGGAACGAGGGGCGGGCACTGGGGCGCACCAATCACGGTGCAGCCCCGCCCTATAAATACGCTGCGCCGGGGCTTTTTTTGCACCTTTCTGCCCAGTTAGGTTTTAATCAGTTTAGTTTGCTTGCTTCTGCAGTTGCTATGTCTGAGACGGCACCACCCGCCCTAGCCGCTTCCACTGCTCCTGTGAAGCCTTCAGCTGGCAAGAAAACGAAGAAACCTGCGAAGGCTGTAGCACCCGCCAAGAAAAATGCTGGTCCCTCCGTATCGGAGCTGATCGTGCAGGCTGTTTCCTCTTCTAAGGAGCGCGGTGGCGTGTCTCTGGCTGCTCTTAAGAAGGCGCTGGCGGCTGCTGGCTACGACGTGGAGAAGAACAACGGTCGCATCAAGCTGGGCCTTAAGAGCCTGGTAAACAAGGGTACGTTGGTGCAAACTAAGGGCACCGGCGCTTCTGGCTCTTTTAAGCTCAACAAGAAGGCCTCTGTGGAAGCTAAGCCCAGTGCCTCAAAGGTAGCAGTGAAAGCCAAGGCAGTGGCCGCTTCTAAGAAACCTAGAAAGGCCGCGGGGGCTACTGCTATGAAAAATGTGAAGACTCCCAAAAAAGCTAAAAAGCCTGCTGTAACAAAGGCTTCCAAGAGCCCCAAGAAGTCTAAAGCAGTGAAGCCCAAAAAAGGTAAAAGTCCTGGCAAGGCTGTGAAGCCCAAAGCGGCCAAGGTGAGGATGACTAAGCCAAAGACTGCTGCCAAACCCAAGAAGGCAACAGCCAAGAAAAAGTAAAGTTTTGGTTGGAAGCTTCTTCTACTGACCCAACGGCTCTTTTAAGAGCCACCTATGTATTTCAGAAAAAGAGCTCCAGCATATGAGACCTCAGTACCCTAGCAAAAGCGATGGCTGTGAAGCCAAGCTTTGCTCTCAATATTATAATCACTTTTTTTGAGTCTAGTTTTAGGTTCCAGCTAACAACATCTTTCAGGTGACTTAAAATACACCATATGTTATGTCGAGTATAGTCCTACTTTCTGCCCTTTAGTTCGCAAACTCACCAAAATAGCCTTTTAGATGCACTTGGAAGTCTCATATCCTGGAGGAAATGGTATTGGTATAACCCCCGACCCAGACTTGGATTGTACATTATGTATATATGTATATATATATATATATATATATATGAATGACGTTTTTTACTCCAACTTTCGTGGCTAGTTTAAATTCAAAGCCAGGGATTTTGCATTCTTGGGCCAATGTTGCTTACAGGGCTTTTCCGAATCAGGCTTTAAGAAACGTTTTTTGGAGTACATGGTGAAATGTTTGGTTTAATCACGCCCTCTTTCCGCAGGTGTGGCTAGTAAAGTAAGTGAAAACAACAGTGACCCGCTCTGGTGAATGGCGTCTAAATTGGCCTCCTCAAAGAGCCTCCCCCTGGTAGGCCTCGCTCGCCTACTGCTGCGCGATTAGAGTTCTGAAGATGCCGGTTGCTCTTGCTTCGCCCAGCCCATTTCCTAGATAGACTTGCTGGCTATCGGCTTGGTTTGAAGGGTTGGAGTGGGGGAAGTGGGGGGGCGGGGGGAGGTTCATGTTTAGCACAAAGGAGCTTAGCTGCAATGGAATCTTAGAACTGAAGCCTCAAATCCTTTTTTTTTTTTTTTTTTTTTTTTAGGAGACAATCTCACTTTGTCGCCCTCTATAGAGCGCTGTGATGCCCCATACTTCACAGCAACCTCAAAGTCTTGTGCTCAAGAGTTCCTCTTGCCTTGGCCTCCCAAATAGCTGGGACTACAGGTGTCTGCCACAATGCCTGGCTATTTTTAGAGAAGGACTCTCGCACAGGTTGGTCTCAAACTCCTGAGCTCGATCAATCTACCCTCCTAGGCCTTCGTGGCTCACGCCTGTAATCCTAACACTCCCTTCTTTTTATAGAAACAAAAGCGCCCCAGTTGAATATTTGAAAGTTATATTCTGTGCCGAACTGGATCATCAGTCCTGCCATTTGGGTTTGTTTTTTTTTTTTCGCAGTTTTTGGCTGGGGCTGGGTTTGAACCCCACCTCCGGTATATGGGGCCGGCACCCTACTCATTTGAGCCACAGGCGTTGCCCGAGTCTTGCCGTATTTTCAATTCTGATGGAGCTACTCACATTAAATGCTGGGGACCTTTTGGGAGGATTTAAGCCTTCATTCACACTTTTAATTCCAGGATTCAGATTTTACTAATTTTTTAATTTTTTATTTGTTTGTTTTTAGAGACGGAGCCTCACTTTATTGCCCTTGGTACAGGGCAGGGGCGTCACAACTCCAGCAACCTCCAACTCCTGGGCTTAGGCGATTCTCTTGCCTCAGCCTCCCAAGTAGCTGGGACCACAGGCGCCCGCCACTACGCCCAGCTATTTTTTTTGTTGCAGTTTGGCCTGGGCTGGGTTTGAACCCACCACTCTCGGTATATGGGACGGGCTCCCCACTTACTGAGCCACAGGCGCCGCCCTACATTTTACTAATTTTTTGTTCGCATCGAACAAACAGTATATAATGAGCCAATTTTGCTCATTTTTGTATAGCACAGGTCAATTAGTTGTAAAACTTCATTTTTGCACATGCACATATAAGTTTTTTTTTTTTTTTAAGACAGAGTCTCACTTTATCGCCCTCGGTAGATTTTTTGTATACGCACATATAAGTTTGTTTTTGTTTTTTTCTTTTAGAGACAGTTTCACTTTATCGCCCTCTGTAGAGTGCCATGGCGTCACACAGCTCACAGCAACCTCCAGTTTCTGGGCTTAGGCGATTCTCTTGACTCAGCCTCCTGAGCAGCTGGGATTACTAGCGCCCACCAGAATGCCCGGCTATTTTTGTTGTTAGTGGTGCAGTTTGGCAGGACCAGGTTTGAACCCGCCACCCTCGGTATATGGGGCCGGCGCCCTACCCACTGTGCCACAGGCGCCGCCCAACACGTACAAGTTCTTTAATTATCAGTTGTACTTCTTAGAAGATCTTTTCCTTTTTTCATCTGTTTCCATAACTCCCTCCATCCTCTAAAGTCTTCATTACAGGCAGGTCAGATCACTGGATTTCCTTCCCCCAAATTGATACTACCATAGCTATCTGTGTTTTCCTTTAAATTTAGTCTCTTACACACATATCTGTACACATGCATAACTGATTTACTTTGGGGTTAGAGTTACTACTTTTTCACAAAATATTATGTACATTGTCCATGTTGCTTTTCTCTTAACAAAACCTTTCAAAAATCTTTCAGATGATATGTTTAATGTCCTTCACATGGAGCAGCATTATTTATTGATCCATTTCCTATTAATGAGCTTTAATGTTTCCAGTTACAGCAGCTGAACACCGTGCACTAAATAATAGAGTTTCAGAGCAGAGATTGCTAGGTTTTAGAATATATGTATTTTAAATTTCAATAGGTGTTGACATATCTTGAAAATAGCTCACACTTCCAGAAACGTGTGAGATCACTCCCCTTCCTCCATTCCAACTATCAAGGAATGGTTTCATTAATTTCTGCCAGTCTCATGACTGTTAAATTATTTCATGTTGATTTGCATTGCCATAGTTGCTAGTGAATCCTTTTCTTTAGGGTTATTGGCCTTTTGAATATGCTCCTGGGGAATTTCCTGCTTGTATTTCTTACTTTTCCACCCGGCAGCTTCTTTTGTCCCACGGTGTTTTTCACATAATAAAGAAATGAACTTTATACTTAAACCACCTGTGTTGCCAATAGTTCTCTATTTTTGATATTTTTTAGTATTTTCTTTGCTTATGGTATATTTTCATTTACATGTATTTGATATATAAATGTTTAAATATTAAGTGATATAATTTTAATAATTTAATAATGTTAATATTAATTTCAACATTAATATTAAATATTTTAGTCACAAATGTGTCTTTCATGGCTTCTAGGTTTCTAGTTTGGGTTAAGAAACTACCCCACTCTTCTATTATTTCTGCAGTCTTTTGTTATTTTGTTTTAAAAAAATTTTCAGTCTCTAAACTGTCTGGAATCTATTTTATATTGTTTAAGATACAATCCAAGTTTGCATTCTCCGAAATTAATGAATAGTTTTTCCAAACTCACTTATTAATTAATACATTCATTTTCCCACTGAACCAAAATATGCCATCTTTTAAGTTCTTAAAGTGAGACCTATTTTTTTCTACTTGTCTTTCCATGTAAATTATGTACTTTCTTAATTTTATTCCTACTTAATTTATAGGTTTATTTCTATTGTGAAAGGAATATCCTCTTTTTAGATCATATTACAGAGAAGAAATGTATTGCTATCATGTATTGATACAATTTTAATTTGTTCAGTGCTTTCTTACATGTTATGTCCTCAAATTCAATGTGATTACATGACTAAACTAGATGAGTATGTTTTTCTTTTTTTGGCCAGGGCTGGGTTTGAACCCACCACCTCTGGCATATGGAGCCAGTGTCCTACTCCTTTGAGCCACAGGCGCTGCCCGAGTATGTTTTTCTAAAATTGTTATCTATAAGAGAAAAACAGGTGTGCAGTAGGGGTTTAAGGGAGGATGAATCAGATATTCTGAAATTTGTGGAACCTAAATTACCCAGTAGATGAAGCATTAATCAACTGGGTTAAATGTTGCTGATAGATGCAGGGGTGTCCAACCTGGGGCCTGTGGTTGCATGCTGATTTTGTGAGGACTTTTTTGCTTATCTGTGGTGTCAATAGCACAAAAAGTATGCATGGACTTTTATTTTTGCTAATCAGCTTTTATTAGTGTTTCTGCATTTAACATGTGGCCCAAGACAACTCTTATTTTTTCAATGTGCAACAGAGGGAAAAAAAAGTTGGACATCTCTGGAAGAACAAGCTTGAGACTAGTAGTCCCCTGGTTTTACAGCCTGGAGATCACTGGTGGTCTTAACAAAAGTTTTGGAGAGGACAGAGTTGATGTGAAGTAGATTTATAAATTTGAGAGTTGCAGGTGTATGGGTATGGCCAAACTGCAACAAAAAAATAGAAGGGGGTGTGGCAGGTGCCTATAGTCCCAGCTACTTGGGAGGCTGAGGCAAGAGAATCACCTAAGCCCAAGAGGTGAAGGTTGCTGTAAGCTGTGATGCCACAGCACTCTATCTAGGGTGACAAAGTGAGACTCTGTCTCTAAAAAAGAAAGAAAGAAAGAAAGAAAGAAATATAATCTGTACATATATATATTATGTGTATATATATGTATATATTACATATATAAAATAACCTTGAACATAGGACTGGACACAGTGACTCATATCTATAATCCCAGCACTTTGGAAGGCTGATACAGGAAGATTTTTTAAGGCCAGGAGCTCAAGTCAAGCCTGGGCAACAATAAGAACTTGTCTCAAAGAGGAAAAAAACCAAAAAAACAATAAAAGGAGGTAAAGTGGCATATGCCTATAGTCCTAACTACTTCAGAGGCTAAAATTGGAGGATCACTTGAGTCCAGGAGTTTAAAATTACAGTGAGCCATGATCATGCAACTGTGGTCTACCCCAGAAAACAGAGTCAGATCCTGTCTCTAAAAAGATTAAATTTCCCAGTTAAAAGATACCAAATGGTCAAATGGTTTTTTAAAAAACCCAATAAACTGTAGACTGCTGTCTATAATACACTCACTTTAAATGTAAAGACACACATAGACTGAAAAATGAAGGGATGGAAAAAGATAATCCATGCAAACAGAAACCAAACAATATTTACAACAGATAAAAGATAATTTAAGTCAAAAACTATAAAAAGAGACAAGGACATCATACTGGGGGTGTCAAAAAATGTATATACATTTTAAGCTGTTATCTACTTTTTGAAGTCAAAATGAATTATAGTACCAATGTGTAGTGTGATGTTTGCTCTAAAGATGGTATTGATCAAATGAAGGACA